CGCCGGAGGCGCCCGTCCGCCTTCCTGGGTTGGGAGTGGGGAGCCGGGCAGCCCCTTAACTGGGGGAGGGGGGTCTTCCCCCTGCCCTGTCAGCGTGGGGAGGGGACGGGGCTGCAGCTCCATGGCCACAGTGGAGCGGCGGAGTGGGACGCCGAACCTCCTGCGAGACGGGACTGGGGCTGGAAGGCGGCACCGGTGACCCCTGAGCTCCGCCCTGGCACAGGGGGCATCACCCCAACCTCTGCATTGTGACCCCTCCCGTGGGCAGGGCATGGGAGGGGTGGCCCCACCTGTGACCTTCGCCCTGGGGTGGGGGCTACAACCCTCCCGCATCTCTGGCCTGGCTGGGGTTCACGGTCCCCCTGTTCCCTAGGCAATTCGTAGAGGAGGCAGCACAGGACTTTGCTCGGCAGCACCCCGATGTTGTTCTCTACGTGAGCCCCGGCTCGGGCACGGCCCCGCTGGTGCGGGCTGAGTACTGTGAGTGCTTGGGGACACGGGGAGAGAATGGGGATGGGGCTGTCCCTGCCGGGCCCTGGCTCTGCGCAACCTCTGCCTGGCGCAGGCGGTGCTGAGGCAGCTGCTGTGGGATGGGGGATCAGCAGCTGCCCCCCGGAGGCCTGTGGAGTGGGGGGATCCTGGCCTGACCCCCTCGCTCTGCTGCAGTGAACGGGACAGTGCGGGAGGAGCTCATCGCCAGCAAGACAAGTGAGGAGATCGTGCAGCTGGTCACGAAGCTGGCCAACCAGTCTGGCCTGGACATCATCCGCATCCGCAAGCCCTTCCACACCGACAATCCCAGTGTCCAGGGCCAGTGGCACCCCCTCACCAACAAACCCTCCATCCTCACTGTCCAGGGCCCACGCCTGCAGCCCCAATAAAGCCTCTTCTACCTGCAACCCCATGCGTCTGCATCCATCTCTCTTGCCTGCAGAGAGACACCGTCACACCATGTCCAGACAGAGCCATGTTTATTGCCAAGGGGACGTGGAGCTGTGCACGAGGGGTGTCAGACACAGGGTGATACCCCTCCTTGGAAGGTGGGGGTGGTCCTTGCTGGTGGCTCATGTCCCCTTCTTGCAGCAAAAACAGTGAGGGCAGGATGGGAGAAGCCAGGTGTACAATTCTTGCCTTTTCCCACTAAGCATCGCTCTCCTGAAATAGGAGGCCTAGGCTGTAGCCCATGAGGGACCCCAGGGGCTGCCACCCCCCTCTTGTCTCCCCTGTAGGGCTGAGCTGGCAATGTCCTGATCATAGAGGTGCCAGCAAGGAACACACGGGAGGACACACACCCCAGCAAGTCTGTCCTTCCACAGCTTCTCCTGTGTCACCATATGAAATGTTTTTGTCACCAGTCTCTCAGGTTCCCCCAGGAGGTGGCAGGAGCAGAAATAGCTGGGGGAATTTAGGGACCATGGCTGCTCCTGGAAAGTGCCATGAAGAGGAGGATGCTCCAGAGGGAGGCAGACCGGCAGCCCCTTGTCCAGGGCTCTTCTTCCTCACTGTATGAGGACATTTCCCCACCCAGGGATTGTCTCACAGGTGACAGGGCTGTGCTTGAACCCCAGTTCTCCAACGGCACCACACAGGAGGGCAGAAACACGTGCTTGGGGCCACAGGGGCACTGCGGACATCAAGGGGATGTGGATGCTGCGCTGGTCCCTTGTCATGCTGTAGGGTGCTGTGGTGGCTGCCAGTCCTGCTGCTAGTGCATCTTGCTGCCTGCAGCTGCATCCGGCGCCCTGGGGAGAGGGGGCAGAGCCCTGTCAGGATCAGAGGGCCTGGGGATGCCACCTCCCCAGGTCATCCAGCCAGATATTTCACCTGTGGCCTCTTTGCAGGGGGCACACACCCCTTCACCAGCTGCTCCAATGCATTCGGGTAGTGAGCTCCTCGACATGTTTCTGTTCCTTGCCAAACCATCCTCTCCCAGAGAGGAAACCCTGGGGAGCAGACGTGGGAGAGCGGGCAGAGGCTGGCACCCACTGAGGCCAGCCCCCACAATGTGAGATGTGTCCACTGCCCCTCTCCTGCCTGAGAGCGAGCAGCAGGAGAAACCCGCCAGCTCCATGCCGGAAAGGGATCCTGCACCCTGCAAGAGGCACAGGCACAGTGCGTCAGCCCCCAGCCCCCCTCCCTGTTCCTCACCCACCTCTCAGCAGCTGTCCAGCTCCCATGTGCCGAGGGACACCCAGCAGGGCCAGCCAAGTCCACACGTCCATGACAGTGTCTCTGTCACGCCTGGATGAAGAGACAGAAACTCGCCCTCCCTCCCGGTGTCCACTTTCAGCCAGGTGCCAGCTCCTATCTCCAGTTTGTGGCCACCATCAGTGGGTTTTTATACATAAATAGAGCTTCTAAATTTAAATAGATGCTTCTTTCTTTTTTTTTTTTTCTGTACAGCAAGTCTCAAAAGTGAGTAAAAGCCAAAGGAACGGCTGAGCCCGGGCCCGGCCCGGCTCTGCCATCCAGGAGGTAGTTTCGCCTGAGTCTTGTAACACTGCTGGCAAAGGGGTGGGAGAAGGGGCTGAAGGGGAGGAGGGTCCCGCTGGCAGAACCCCCCTCCCCAGCCCCTACACGGAGCTCTCGTCCAGCTTCTCCACCAGCTGTGTGTGTTTCCGCTTCTCCAGAATCTTGCTGAGCTCCTCAGTGAAAGATGCGCTGTAGAGCGGGGAGACCAGAGGCTCCTCCTGCTGCTGTAGCAGCATGTAGCTGTTGCCGTTCATCTTGCGGAGGACGTTGGGCAGAGCCCCCATGCCGTTGGTGAGCTCAGCCGGCAGCGGGGGCGGCAGCGGGGGCACAGCAGCCGGCAGCTCCTTGACGGGGGAAGTGGCAGCCGTGGGCGCCTCACCAGGGATGATCCGCAGGCAGCCATCAGGGTAGGTGAGCTCTTCCTCCTCCTCCTCCTCCTCCCGGTGGCCCTTGCGCAGGCAGTTGGCTGAGACGGTCTGCAGCTCCACGCTGGATGGCCGTGGCTCCCCCAGCACGTACTTGCCCTTGCGCTTCTCCAGGCAGGACATGTAGAGGAGAACGGTGCTGAGCACGGCGCAGAGCACCACCAAGGTGACAATGGCGGAGATGTAAGCCACCTTCATGTCGTTGGCTGCCTGGCTGGCAGCGTGGGGTGGGGTGGCAGCTGTAGGGCTGCGGGGTATCTCGGGCAGCACAGTGAGGCTGTAGGCAGCCAGCAGCGTCTGAAGACCCCGCTCCTCCCCGTAGCAGCGGTACTCGCCACTGTGCTGGGGCAGCGTGTCTGTCACCAGCAGCCCATCCACCCCCACACGCAGCCGGTCCTGCCCCATGCCCAGCACCTCACTGCCATTCAGCAGCCACACGGCTCGGGCCAGGTTGGAGCGCTGGTCGCAGGGCAGCAGCACATCGTCTCCCTGCAGCACTGTCCGGTTCTTCCATGGCAGGGAGCCTGTGGGGACACACACCGCCTCACACCTGTCCTGGCCACCCTAAGGGACACTGGACACCAGCATCCCCATGGTCCCAAGGGGTGGCAGACTCACCTCGCCCGGAGATGCTCCGGCATCCCTTGTTGCCGCTCTGAATGTCCTGCACCAGCCCTGTGCTGCAAGGCAGGGGGAGCTTCAGCCATACAGCCTCGGTGCATACAGCCCACCCTTTACAAGGTCATGGCCACCAGAAGACCTACCACCAGACACCGGCCAGACCTTTGGGGGTGGCTCTGGGGTGACTGTGCCATGGGGTGATGCACAGCAGCATAGGATGGGGCAGGTGGAAGGCTTGTGGGGACCCAGCTGGGGACAGGCACCCATCCCTACCTGTCCGTGGTGGCGGTGGCACGGCAGGCCCTGCCATCCCAGGCACAGTAGGGGTCCCGGGCGAGGATGCAGTCATAGCAGGAGGTGTACCTGGCACAGGTGGCCAGGGGCACCTGCACGATCCCACTGGCTGCCCCCACATACAGGCTTCTCTGATGGGGAAAAGACTGGCTCAGCATTGATCTGGCTATGGGGTGCCCCATGGTGCCCAGAGATGCCCCCAGCAGAGCTCTCCCTTGATGGGGATGCACGAGAGGCCCCCCAGGTCACAGTCAGTGCCAATGGGTGCAGCTGGCAAGGAGGCCAGGCTGCCCTGCTGCACTCCAGCATATATCCCAAGCTGGGCTGATCCAGGAGTCACATCCCCCCACTCCCGCAAAGAGCCCAATGGCAGCTTCACAGCACAAGCACACCCCATGTGTGATGGCCCCCTACTTCTTCTCCCTCACCTGGGCGTGAGAGATCACCAGGCTCTCCACGGGCTGCAGGTCCCTAAACACCTGCACCTCCTCCACGATGTGGATGCCAGAGCCCACCACCACAGCCTTGTGAAGCCAGCCGTCTCCTGGAGAGCAGAGCGGGGGGTTCAGAAGGGAATGTGTGGTGTGCCCCCTGTCCAGCACAGACCTGGCAAACTTACCCCACACTCACCTGTCCCCATGAAGAGCACATCGTAGGAGCGGCCATCCAGGGCCTGCACTCTGTCCACGGCCAGCCGGCTGTACGCCACGCTCTTCTTCACCAGGAGTGGCTCCCCGCCAGCCGGCTTCACCTCCTCAAACATGAGTGGGTGCAGCTTGACAAAGTCCAGGACGCTGTTGGGTAAGTCCTGCGAGGAGTTGTAGCCCTTCCTGCGGGAGTGGTCCGTGATGCACTGCTCAGGGGAGAGGGGGGTCAGAGGGGAATGTGGCTGCCCCGTGCCCCCCCTGCTCTGCACCCCCTGGCACTCACAGAGCCGGGCCGGGGCTCGGGCACTGCACCATCGTAGCGGGCCCACTTGCGAGTCGAGTCCTGGTACTCCATGTAGGGGCCCTCAAAGGCACGCTGCACTGCCGAGATGCTGTAGCGGCACACAGCCGAGGCCTCCATGGTCCTCCTGAGGGGCAGAACCTCACCTGAGTCTGGACAGACACATGACTGCTCCCAATTAATGCACCCACAGGTGTGCAGCACATGCCTGTGTGTGCCCTCAAGCATCTCTGGTTCCCTCCCCCCCGTGCTGTAGATTTGTAGCCCCAGTTGTTTCAGCTGCTGCCCCACTCACCACTGTGCTGAGAGCGTGAAGGCAGCATAGAAGACAGTGCTGGCCCAGCCACCTCCATCCAGGCTGCAGACGCTGCGCAGCACCTCGTAGTAGGGGATGTAGCAGACCAGGCGCGCCTTCATGAAGGACGTCCACTTGCGCTGAAGGATCTTCTTCCCCCCCACATCACTCTGGGAGGGTGCGGGGAGCATTTTTGCACAGGCTGGTGGGGGGGTGCATTCCCCTCTACCCATGCCTCAGTTTCCCCCCAAATGGAGGCATGCTGCCCCTGCACCAAGAGGAGCAGTGCTTGGCTCCCTCTGGCTGGGAACATGCCTACCTTGCAGACACGGGCAACTCGAGCCACTCGGGCCACATGACTCTTGTCAAAGAAGGATGTGGTCTCCTCTCCCGCCCTCTCCGTGAAGAAGTAGTAGATTTTGTCATCATCACCTACAGGGCTGTCCCTGCTCTCCCGGACCAGCACAGATGCCACGAACTCGGCATCTGGGGACACGGAACAAGAAGTGGAGATTGGGGACCAACCACAGGACAGGGAATCCCTCCCTGCCTCGATTTCCTCTCATTGCAAACCACACAGGACTCCAGGACCACTCCCCACCCCTGCTCCACACACTCCAAAGCATCCCACAGCCCATGCTGCTGGTCACAGGACTGGGGGGGACATGGACATCTCACCATTTAGCCAGTGCAGTGGGGACTCCTCTGTCTTCAGCGGTCGCTGGTGCAGGTTCCTCCGAATGTCAGGAAGGCTCCGAAACTCGTAGCGCGTGGCCGTGTACAAGCCGCCGTCTGAGCAGGGCAGGTACCCATCAGCATGGCCCTGCACCCTGGGGACAGCCCCACAGGCCACCAGCATCCCCATGCCCCAGGCAGATGAGGCAGAGGAGGAGCAAGTCCTGGCTTGGTGAGGCCACTGCACGCAGGGCCTACCTGGCTGGCACCACCTGCAGGGGTGCCAGGATTTGTTGGCATCCCACATGCCCCGCCAGCCCTGGAAGGGTGCCACTTACCCACAATGAGGCCGGTGTAGCCACGGGCAGGGTCATATGGGCACTTCTCCTTGCCTTCCTCAAAGTGGGATGGCAACATGAACCTGTTGGCATCCTTGGGGGGGAAAGGGAACCTGGTTAAACAGGAGGGGACAGACGCGCCTTACCTGCCAGCCTCATGCTCTTTGCAGAGGCTGCTAGCAGGGACAAAGCAATGCCCACCAGCTGTGCCCTTGTCCAGGCAAGACAAATGCCCCCCACATCCTCCAGCTGGTCAGAAACCACATGAACAGCCAGAGCCTCCAGCCAACAGCAGGGAGAGGGCTCTGCAGGGGAGGGGAGACCTGGCACCCCACTTAGGCATCACGTGGGCACTGGGCACGAGCCAGTCAGCGCAGCCAATGTTCCCAGGCTATGCCTGGCTGGCAGACGCTGCTCAGACAGGCTGGGCTCCCCCAGGTGCTGTCCCTGTCATGGCAGGAGTTATTTTCTTTGGGGTTTGCAGTTCAAAGCATGTCAAATAATGATGGGGCCCTTCCAGCTTGGCAGCTCCTCCACCTGATTTCCAGTACGCGCGATGGCCAAACCGGACCAGCAGCACAGCCATGGGAACAAGCATGGTCTCTCCAGGGCTCCCTGAACACGCTGGGGACATGGCCCCAGGACCCCTTCTCCCCAACCCAGGGAGGGAGGTGAACAAAGGGCAATTAAGTCTCCACTGACTCAAGGAGCTACTGAAAGGGGGTCAAAGTCCCATTGCCAGTGAACAAGGCTGCTCTTGGACACTCTGCCCTGAGTCACAGCCATGTGGGAATTCCCAGCCTGGCCCAGAAAATCCCTGGGGAGGGGCTTCTGAGTCAGCCCCACCACTGTCACCCTTCCTGGGCACGCTTATGACTGGCTATCGGCCATTCTGCAGCCCCTGCTTTGAGGAGAGACCCTGCAATAGCAGGTGCTGGGGACCAGCCAGCTCCAGGGCTGGCACAGCCCATCCTGCTGAGCCCACATGCGTCCTCCATGGCACCAATCCACCCCCAGCTCTCTCATTATGGGGTCAGAGTCCAATCTTAGTGCCAAGGTGGGGACTTTGGGCATCTGCATTGTGGTGGCCGCGTCCTCAAACCTACTCAGGCTAGCCTGGGGATCACTTGCCTCCCCCACGAGCCAGAGAGGGGCTGGGACAGGGGCAGAAAGGGAGTGGGGCTGCAGGATGAGACAGTAGGAGAGGACAGGGGGCTGCACCTCCCCAGGGTGACACCGTGGCAGGGGACAGGTGACAGCTGTGGGGCTGAGCAGTACTCACAATGGCAGCACAGAGCGGGTGGAAGGCGTAGGTCCCACAGGTGTAGAGGTGGGTGCTGTTCAGACGCTGCAGAAACCGCACGTGGTTGAAGCACTCGGTCTGTGAACGGGGAGCACAGGCATTACAAGCCAGGGAAAGCAACAGCAGCCCCTCCCAGCACCCACCAACTGGCTCTACCTTGTTGTTTTTGCCCTTCTGCTGGCAGTCCATCTGCTTCTCCGGGGAGGCTTCCCAGTGGATCTACAAGGGGAAGAGAGTTTGCTATTGTGTGATCCCCATTGCTGTGTGGTGCCCTGTCTCTGCAGGCTCCAGCCTCTATCAGAGCCATCAGAAATGATAAAATCCTTTATTTAGAGAGGGTACAGTTCCTCAGAGCACAAGATGACACTCTGCACACATCCAACCAGCCCAGGTTGAGAGTGGTCCCACCCCCCACTGGGCAGACACTCCAGAGCATCTGTAGGAGCCTGGAGGATTTTGGGGTGTCCCTCCCTGGGGGAGCAAAGGGGTGCAGTTTTCCCCCTGCCTCTTGTTCTGCTGGGGTATCCCTGAAGCAGGCAGTTCTGAGCTTGGGGATGTCCCCCACCGCTGTTCTCACACTGCCTGGCTGGGGAGAAGCACCAGGAGTCCACAGGAGATCTGGGGACAGACCTGGAGACATCCCCTTCAGGCAAGACCTGAGATGGAGAGCGGGAGGATGAGCAGGGATAGAGTGGCCATGATTCAGACAGGGATCGGGTAGCGTGGGACAGGAGAGGACAACCAGCCAGCAGCAGGCAGAGGCCGGGCTCACCGTGCGGTGGGAGCCGTCGGCCACGTCACTGGAGTTGAGGGCGAAGATGGCTCCCCTGGCGCCCACATAGAGGATGCCCCGGTCGTCCTCCAGCAGCAGGGTGCTGTAGTTGAGGGTGTGTGCGTTGAAGCGCCGGACGCCCGACAGCTCTGCAAAGGGAACAGGGGTCTGAGGGGGGACCCCGGGGCAGGCACGGCGCAAGCCACTGGGAAAAGACAAGAGGACGGAGCTGGAAGGCACCCGCTGAAGTTATCAGGTCGACAGTGCTTGGTGCCAGCAGTTACAGCAGGAGGAAAGGAAGAGAAGAGGCTTGGTAGGAGGCAAAAGGCACTAATTGGGCTCAGGCTTACTGCAGAAATTTCTCCCCACTAATTAAAGTACAGCTCACAGGTGGGAGCTGTGATATCCATGCCCAGCATGAACCTGCCATGGTGTTCAGGGAATTGCTGAAGGAAGCAAAAACATCCTGGCAGTGCCTCTGGCTCTGAACTGAGCCCAGCCAGCCCAATGGGAAAGAGAAAAAAACCTGAACCAAAACTGCCATGCAAGAGGAGGGCTTCTGCAGTGAGGCTGGACATTCCTGCCCACCAAACCAAAGAAACCACCCAATTTGAGGTGCTGAGAATTGTGAGGTGGGACTCAGCCCTGGCCACAGGGACCCCAAATAATACTTGGACCCTCCCACAGCAGGAAGAGAAAATCCCATGAGACTTGGGACTCTGGAGGCAGCTGCAAAGGTAATTACTACCCCCCACCAAAAAAGAAGGCATTGCCTGGAGAGAAAAGGGCACCCCAACTGCTAATGAAACTCTCTCCCACCACTGATTGTTGAGTTGAGCTTCACTAACGAGGTCAATGAAGTTGTGTGGATGCCCAAGGGACAATGACACTTCTGAGCTCACTGGCAACACACAGGCTGGATGTCAAAAGCCCAATGGCAATTAGAGAAAATCAGGAAGAAAGCTCCAACTATTTGGGCCATAAGAGCCCAGCCCAGGTGTGATGCCCAGCTAAGGACATCCTCCAAGGGCTGCTGGGCAGGGCCAGGGGCTGGCCAAGGCTGGCTCCCTGCATGTCCTTGTCCCCTTCTGGCTTTTGAGGAAATGACTTGAGGCACCAAGTGCTAGACAGCCATGTGGTCTCTGATTTCCAGAGCACAGGGGATCAGAGGACCCCTTGTAGCCACCACTCCATGCTGAGCCCCCCACTCCAGCAGGGTGGCAAAGATTAGATGCAGTCATGGTGCACCAAAGCCAGTGCTAGCAAGATCCCAAACCTCACTGCTGCCACCAGGACCCACACCCCCTTACCATCAAAGGTGACTGTTGTCCTGGGAGTGGCATCCAGGTCGGTGGCAGAGCGCCGTGATGGGTATCCCATCGCTGCCACCACCGCCATGACAAGAGTCGTCATGACATGTGCCGTATCTCCATTCATCTTCCTGCTCTTGTGGCAAGGGCAGCTGCCCCAGCCACTGCCAGCAGGTTGGCACAGCTGATCCTCGGGACAGGCTCTCCAGCTCCCTGGGACAGGGCTGGCCACCAAACCCTCCTGAAACACAGAACACCACGTCAGACACTCTTGCTGTCCCAGCAACTCACAAGCAAGCTGGCTTGAGAAGCAGCCAGCTGCATAGACGCATGGATGCTTGACCAGGCACGGCCTCATACCAGGGACGGCTTCGGGGAAAAACAAACCCTCATTAGCCAAAGGGGAAACAAAGGCATGGCACAAGGCATCAAGCCTGCAGCCAGCACAGGCCATGGAAGGGACCTCCTGCAGCATCCCCCTGAGGATGACCTCCCTCCCCTCTGTCACAGTGGGGGCAGTCGCTTACTGACTGCTTGGGTCAGCTGCTCAGAGACTCATTTTCCTCCAGGCTACTCCCTCCTTTGCTCCCAAACTTCTGCTCTTACAGCTCCCCCTGACAGAAGGATATGCTTTGGCACAGCCAGCTGATCCCCCATAGCATTTCACACCCAAACAGCAGGCACATTTGCCCTCCAAAAGCAAAGAATGGAGCTCAGGGCCAAGCCCCTCTGTGGGTCATTGGTACACTTGGGTACCCCAAGTCCCGCTCCCCAGAGTGGCTGCAGCAGGATGGGCAGCAGTGGGGGTCCTGGGAAGCCCAAGGTCTCCATTCCTTCCCAAAAGCCCAGCTGGCCACCTCCTGCCATGCAAGATACTTGTCCCCAGTTTTGCCCCTCCTGAAATGATGAGACTCCCGAGGACAGAAGCATGGGAAGGACGCTTCAGGCATGCAGAGACGCAAGGTGAAGAAAAAACCATACAGGAACTATTTGGCATCTCCATCAAGCCTTTTCAAGCGGAAACAGTTTTTCCCCCCAGTGTTTTTCAATGAGATTTCAGTTTCTCTTTCATCCCAAGCTCAGCATCTACTTTGGCTCTCACTTTCATGCATTTTTGATTCGTCACAAATAAGCCCCCACCTCTCCCAGCTGCACTGAGCAAAGCCACCAGTTCATCTCGCAGGCATTAAAAGACAACTGTGTATCTCTGAGATAGAGCTCCCCAGAAGCAACAAGCACCTCTGTGTTTGCTTAGGGCTTATAAATATATATATATATATATATATATATATACACATTTATATGTTTATAAAAGCCAAATACCTGGCCCTGTAGAGAAGCTGCTCAAACATGCTCAGTGCAGACGATTTCCCTGAAGCAAATACTTTGCTGTGTCTCGGGTAAAGGGGAGGTAAAACTAATGTGAAACCAAAGTGAAAAGAGCTTTGGGGCCAAAAAGGAGAAGCAAAGGGCTGCATGTGGATTCAGTCATAGTTCTGCAGCTTGCATCAAAGTGGGTTCAGACCCAGACCTCACACCTGCACTGGCCACTGCTCCAGAGCATTTCAGGAATAGGGCAGACAGGAAATGTGTCCCCCTGCTCCCTGCTACCTCCCTGCCCCCCAGGAACCAGACAAGCACAGAGTACCCAAAGAGCACCCCACCCTGGGTGCAGGCAGGGTGCTGCCTGTGGGACTGAGCTCCATGGAGAGCAGATCCCAGAGCATCCTCCCTCTAAGTAACTCCTGTTTCTGGGACAAGCCCTGTCCAGACCGAGGGTCTGCCCATGAACAATGGGCCTGGACAATGGCAAGGACAATGCAAGGCAGGTGAGTGCAGATGGAGGTCAACGAGAAAGCAGTTGCTTTGGTGATATCATGTCTAGCATGAGCCAAACCCACCAGGCTTTGTGGGCAAAACAAGTGGTGGGGTCACACCTGAAGCACTAAAGCCACTGGCCAGCCCTATGCTGACACCTCTCCATTCCACCAGAGGACCACTCTGGCAGCTGCAGGGACCCTTCCTCAGGACTCCACACAGGGACAGGAGCCTGGAATCACGCATAAGCCACAACAGCTGCTGGACCTGGGATGGGAAGGTAGAGGGGAGTATGAAACTTTTTATGACATGGCAAACAATGATCTCTAATAAACAAGTAACAACCCTACATGCTGCCAGGCGTCCTCACCCTATCTGCCCTGGACAAACAATCCCTGAACTTTGCCTGCTGCTTGGCTCCTGATGCGGTGGGGATTGGAGCTGGGAGCAGGGCTGGGCAGGGAGGCAGGGATGGTGCTTATCGCAGGGCAAGCACTGTGCTGTGAGCCAGCCCCGGCTAACATTTAACCATTGAGAGCACCAAGCCAGCACAGGGGGAGGAAAACAAAAATAATAAATTAAGCTGGGGGTCTGTGCAGGATTCCTAGCCAGGCAGGGGGCAGCAGCCTCCCATGCTGCCAGGGCTGGATCCTCTGCTTTTTCAGAGAAGCAGCTACACCCATTTCCAAAGACTCCTTTGCCCGAGATCAGATGTAACTTTGTCCTAAAGAACATTTAATCAGTTACGTTGTAAGAGCTAGTTAATATTTTACTCAAAGGGAAGGGCTGTTCCAAGCTTCCCTATTTTTTTTATTTTCAAGTTTTTATTTTTCATACCTAGAGTGGGGGAGAAAGAGGAAGAAGGAACTGAAACCATCCTTGGCTCCCCTCAGGTCATCACCCCGGGCTGCACCCACACCAAACACCCCCAAACGCATCATTTCCCTCTTGTCAGGATGCAAGTTCTAAGCTCAGGGTGAAGCCAAGGGCCCAGGCAGGAAGCAAAGGAGGTCATGGTCCATGGGACACACTGGTAGGGCTGGGGGCAGCTGAGTTGCTCAAGTACAGCACTTCAATGGGAAATCAAGAAAAGCTGGAAATGGAAAAGCCACAGAGTTTTTTCTAGTGGAGAGAAACAAAAAGCAGAGAGGGAGAGGCTGAAAAGCAGCAGCAGCTCAAACGAAACCAGGGGTTTCAGAGAAAAACTGCCCAGAAAAGCCCAGCCCCCCCACCCAGGAGTGAGCTCCCAAGCCCCTTGGTTCCTCACCTACTTCCCAGAACAGCGGGGGCCGACATAGGACCTCAAATCCGACCTCAGCTCTCACCCTGGCTGGCGACACTGAAGGAGGATGGTGGAAGCAGGACACAGCCTGGGCTGAAGCCTGGAACCAGCCACTCTAGTCGCAGCGTGTAACATCCACGGAGGCAAAAGCTCACCCTCCTACGGCTGGCTATCGGTACTTCTACAGGATTCAGCCGCAGCTCCCAGCATGGAGCCAGACCCAGGCACCATCTCTCACCAGTGGGGTGGGTTTGCTGGTCCCTTGGGAACACCAGGAAAGCAGCGGGGCGGCGGAGGCGTGCCGGCGTGGGCGAGCGCGCAGGGGAGCGAGCGAGCCCCGGTCAGGTCTGACTGGGTTTACTGGGTCACGACGGAAGCTGTGTGAGCATGACTGTGCCGGCATCAGCCTCCCACCGGCAGCCAGCCGGCACAGCACACCCAAACGGGCTGGCCCAGCCGGCACCTCCTTAAAAACCCCATGACCAGTGTCTCCGGAGGAGTAAAAAGCTTTTGATGAGTGAAGTTCACGGTGGCAGGTCTCGCCAACCTGGATCTGACCAAAGAAACTGGCCAAGGAAACCAGCCAAAGCTGCCACACGCCTCGACAGCAACTGCTTCAGGAGCTTTCTGCAGCACATGGTGGCCCCTTCCCACTGCCCCGTGGCCCCCAAAGTCAAAAGGCAGCAAAACCTAGGAGCAAAAGCAGTCTGCAAGCTGAAGTGCAGTCTGCAAGTTGCACTGTCTGTGGGGTTGGCAAACATGGAGAAACCTCAGACGGGGTCTTATGGACCCCCATGGCTGTTTCCTTGGCAGAACAGCTAAAAATTATGTCAGCTTTTTAATTTCAAAGGAAGTCAGGAGAAAGAGTGGAAATGTTGGGTGGGAGCAGCATTTCTCTGGCTTACCCTCAGCATCCATTCTGGATGGCAGGACACAGATTTGCAGAGTGAGATCGGTCTTTCCCATCCCACCGCTCCCTAAACAGCTCGTGGTTGCTCCACAAAGATCCAGTAAAGCCCAAGTAAGCTCCCAGAATGGCTGCTGAACATTTCTCCCCTCTCATGAGCTGCTCCTCTTAGCATCACAGACCACCACAAGCAAGCACTGCTGGCTTCCCAGTGGGAGCCAGACATTTCCAGTAGGTCTCCTACAGGTTATGGGGTTGCAAACCAGCCTTAACAAAATACCCATCAGGGACTGCACCAGAAGATACCACTTACACTTGGATTTTTCATGGCAGCCCAGCCCAGTCACTCCAAACCCCATGTAGCTGACTCAACTTTACTCACTGGGGCCAACCATGGCACGTGCCCCCGCAGCCCCCTCGGCTCCCCCACCACTCACTCCCCCTGCCACATTCCCACTGGCCCTGCACTGTTTTACCTCCCCCCAGGGACCTGCACGAATTGCCCTCAGGTTCAGCCAAAACAGCCCAACTCGTTCCGGGTGCGGGTGGGGGGAAAGGCACCAGCCCCAGGGGATGAGATGGGGAGAGCTCCCAGGCGTGGGAACAGCCATTGAGCTATGGGAAAGGAGCCATCGGGGATGGGAGACAAGCCTGGCACCGGCCTGGCTGCAAGCGCAGTGCGTTTTGGGCCCCTCTTTCCCGGAGGCGGCAGACCTTGGGTGGGAAATCCTGCGAGATGCAGGAAGAGGAGACGGGATGGAGGTTGCCAGGCAACTTTAATTCAGCCCTTGACGAACTTCCAGCACTTTGCTTCTGCTGCAGAGCCCAACCAGTAAATGATAAAACATCAGATCCACCTCGAGCCAGTGGTGTCCATCTGTCCATCCATCTATTCAAGGCTCATGGCCTTGTGCCTGGGTTGCCCTGCAAGGACATTGGTCCCCCCGGCAGCATTCCCGAAGCCTGAGATGAACCACTGTTCCCGGCACAGATTTGCAGGGGCAGGATTTGACCCGTGGGACTGGACTGGCGCTGCTGCACAGATATTTCTCAACCAGCCAGGATTTTTGTCAACAACAGCGAGAAAAAAATGTGAACTTACTGAAAGCCCTCCAGGAAGAGGGAATCCATGCTGGGTCGGGGAGGGAAGGAGCACAGTGACCTCCTGGGAGCCCCTCACTGGGTTTATTTTAGTTGCTTTCTTTAAACAAAACCATGCTTGACCCTGAGGTGCTTCAGCAGACACACACTAGAGCTTCCGCTATTTAGGAAGCATATATATCTCTCCTTTACCCAAATTTGGGATTTGGGCACAGAGGAAGGGAAGAAGAGCTGCAACATCAGCTCTTCTCACGGAGCATCCTGCCGTGCTCCCTGCGCGAAGCCCCCACGCACAGCACAGCCATCATGGAGCCAGGGAGGCGGGTGGTGCGCTCCAGGCCATGGGAACGGGCTCCGAATTTCCACAGCACAGCCCCCATCTGCCATCAGCAGAGCCCAGCACATCCGGCAGAGGAGAGCACCCAGCTCTGATCCCAGCAACGTCACTGCAGGGAGGAGACACATGAAGGAGAAAAGTGATGGATGGGAGAGCGAGCAGGGACAGTCAGGGATGTGGGCCAGCTTAAGGGGCACCAGTGCCGGTGGGAGCCAGACATCTAAACAACCCTGAAAAGACAAACTGATCCCTCTGCAATAAAAACAACAACAGCCCAATTTCCGACAAATTCACCCTCCTGGCCCCTAGCACCACATCCCCCTGCAGCATTCCTCTGGGGAATGCTGCCCACCCAACGAGGCGCAGGGACCAGTGATTGTGTCTCCTCTGCATGGCTGCAGGGATCAGGGTGTGTTAGCTTCTCCCAGGCTCCCTGTTTTCACTAATCTCACAAGAACTTGTTCCTCTCCTCCATCAGGTCGAGTCTGATGTGGAGCAGGAGGTTCAAAGAGGCTGCCAGGCAGCAACAGAGCTCACAGCCAAGTCTCCATGACAGTTCTCCAGCCATTCCCATCCAAACCCATCCCAAAAAATCCAACTGAGAAAATAAAGAAAGCTACTCCAGCCTGTGCCATGGGCAGGCATCACCTGCCTAAAGCTGTCCCTGCCAGGCACGGGGACGGCTTCACTTCAGCTGCTCCTGACATGCCACAAGCAGATGGCAAGAGCACAGTGCCCAGGATGGCAGAACAGAGCACTCCTCCACTGCCCACCCTAATGGAAAACCCACCAACACCAGCTGTTAGTTGAAACAGTTCCTTGACTAGCTCCAGAACCATTGCTCAGAGCTGGCCTCGGAGGGAAGGGTAGGAGAGGAGGCTGAAGGCCAAACCCTTGCAGCTCAGCGGTGGGACCAAGAGTACTAAAGGATGCCACAGCCAGATTAGATACAGAACCCCCCGACAGAGCAGCAAATCTCCCCTCACTCGAGCAATTCCCCATATGCTGGAGGTCATTTGGTTCTTGCAAGACAGCAAGGAGGACACAGTCCCCACAGCTTTTCCCTCCTTTAAAGCCCATATCCCCCCTGTGGAAACCCCACAGCAGAGCCCTGGGGTGACCCCTGGGAACACCTGAGAGCCCAGTAGGGAGTCGTGCAGGAAAGGGGAAGTGTAACCAGATGCTGCCGAGGCTCAGTGGCCTGGCTCTGACTTCATCTACCACCAGCACACCTCCACACCAGGCCATGGGGGAGGCAGAATGTAGCTAGCAAGCCCTGGTATGTGGGGTGCACATCCCTGGGGGTCCCACCTCCTCCACTGTGAGGAAGAGGCAGGCTCAATGCTAACAACATCACCCCAAATCCCAACATCTTCTATCCTTTCCTGCCTGATTTGCAGCATGACCGCTTGCCAGCAGCCTGGACAGACAGACAGACAGCCCTCCACATCACAGCAAATTCTCCCAGCGAGGGGGCGTCTGCATCCAAGTGGCTCAGTGCTGTATGCAATCTGCAATTCAGCCTTCAAAGGCTTTGTGGCTGAAGCACATTGTCTCCTCGGCAGAAGCAGCAAAATAATTGTAGAATTAAATTCCCAGGAACAATTAGAAAGAAAATGAGAGAAAAATCCCAACCTTAAATGTAAAAGGACAACTCAAAGCCAGCAGATTTCAGGGCTTTTTGAGGCATCTGAATCCATTTGCTCGTCCCTATGGCTGCACTGTGTTTCATTTCACTGGGCTCGTACAATGCAAGACACGGAATTAACTCGGGTGTTTGTTTAGAGCCGGTTTGTCTTCCAGTTTTTTTTTCCAAAGCCAGGTTTGAGTTTCAAAGACACTTCTTGGCAATGCCTGGGGTTCCCACCGCTGGTGTGGTGCGGGGCTTTCCCAAGGGGAAACAGAGGCTCAGAAATCATACACAACCTAGGTTCCCCTTGGAAGCGGGGGCAAGAGGTGGAGCACAACCCAGCTTGTCTGGCGTGAAAGTGGGGCTTTCTGCTGCAAGTTTGTCCCTCTGCCTTTTATTTATTCCAAAGATAAACTGTTTTCTTTTCCAACATCCAGCAAAACCAGATGATGGGAGCAGTTTTAGGGCTTCCAGCTTCATCAACCTCTTCTTGTTTCTTTCACTTTTCCTCCAACAAAGCTTCAATATGGGGTCAAACCCAATTTTGATATTCAAGTTTGCATTCAAAACTGCACAGCACAAAGCAGTAGTATCTGGCCTTTCCCACAGTCGTTTGCATACCACCAGCTTTGCTGCCCCAAAACCAAATCCCCACATTATTTACATGGGCTGGGCTTTGCAACAGGCAAAAAAGAGCCTTCCATCAGGTAACGGAGGAGGGATTGTACCTTGAGGGAGCTTTTAAGCAACAAGAAAAGCAGAACCCAGAGCACACCCTGAATCGACAAGCTGCATCTCAGCCCCCGCACCAGTCGGTAACATGGTACCTGAAATCCTCATCCTCCTTCATCTCCAAACAGCAGAGCTCGGGCCCTGGGAAGAAGGAGGGGTGGATTTGGTGATGACCTTGTTATTGCAAAGCCCTCATGCTTGTAAATCACCAGGAGCTGGTGGCACAGCCAGGCAGGGAGGGATGACGGCAGCAGCATTTCCTCCTGAAGCACCAACCCAGCAGGGAGCTCTCACCTTTGAACAGGAACAGGCGCCGCACCACTGCCGGGGGCGGGGGGGGGGGGGGAAGGGGGCTTTCGCAGCAGGGATACATAAAAGCTCCCTGAGGGCATCATCCCACCCCTCCAAGAGGCAAGCAGGTCCCCCGGGACAGGCTCCCCCCGCCACAAAACCACCCATCACATGAGCCGCTTCCCAACAGGTCTCGTCAAGATGCCAAGCAGAGCTGGCGGGCAAGCACAGGGAGGGAAATTCCCCACATGCGGTCAGGCGAGGCTGGCACCACGTCTCCAATGCACCCACTGCTGCCCTCCTGCACAGGTTGCTGGAGGAGCCCCCCTTGCCAGCCCTGCTGAGCACACCTGGATGCTTTTTTCCAGCACATGACCTGCCAGATTTGCTGAATAAACCTCCCAGCTCCGGCAAACCCTCAGCATTC